ACAGCGCCACAGTGGACACTATTACTTCTTTTTTTTTTTTTCTTTATTGCTTCAGAATATCACCCTTTTTATCATCAACAGTTTTATCAATTTGATAACCGGCGCTTTTTAAGATCAAAATAGGCGTGATATAAAAGAACCAGTAAACAAAAAAAAAGATGGGAAGAAGTAAATAAAAGTTCTGTCGATATATGACTGTTCAGCTCTGTTGAAAATGACTCAGTAAAGAAAACCAACAAAAAAAGTTCAAAAAAATACTGTTCAAACGATGAGCAATAAACACACAAAAAGATTGATGACCAAATAACTTTTTCAACTTACAGTCCTTTCCTTGTTCAAATACTTTTTAAAGCCACAAAAAAAAGTATCAAAATTTTAAATGCATTTCGCAATTTTTCCTGATTTGCAATTTTTTCCTCAACAAAAAATAATTGTCAGAAAGTGTATAAGTGTACCTAAGTATTTTTTTGATGGCTTTTTAACAGCAAAAAAATAAGGTAAAACTGCGCCAATGTTTTGCTCAACCAAATATTTTTCTTCAGGTTCATTTTTGCCATTAAAAATTAGTTACTGCTTTCTTGGTACTAAGACTGAATCAAAAACAACAGCTGTTTTCTATAAGTCCTTTTTCTACTACTTTCTGTTGTCAAATTTTCATTAGAATTGAAAAAATTTTCAAAAATTATTGAAAGAAAAAGAGGGTAAAAAAAGAAGGACAGCAATAAAAATGCCAATTTCACCATTTTTTTTTTCCAATTTTTGCATCTGTCCCTTTTTCTATGTTCCACAGCAATAATCCAAAATAAAAACTATGCATAAAATAACTGATGTCTGGTTGTTCTCAATGTTGCTTATTTTATCATTCTAAGCATTCGCAAAAAAATCAGTAAAAAAAAGCAACAAGAAATGGAAATGAACTAAGAGGAAATACGGGAACATATATTTGTATCAAATATAAAAAAAAATTTATTCTCCAACAATAACAATCCAATGACTTCAACAAAATCAGTGTTTCAAATTCTCAACACCAGATCCCTATGTTTTTACTTTCCAACAAAAAAATCAGAAACTTAAACAAAATCACTCTTTCAGTTGATATTCCGTTCAACCAGTTCCTTACTTTCTCTCTCCCCCCTTTTTCAAAATCATTTTTATTACTAAACATAAAATGATCAAAGAGAAAAGAATAAGAAATACCAACAGTACTTGTTTTTATACCAAAATAAAACTGTTTAAAAGAACGCTGACTGCACAAACAGTCTTTTTTGTTGTTTCAGTATTTTCATCTTTACTTATGCAAAAATCATTTCTTGTCGGTTTTTTCACAGCTAAAATACTATACCAGAGTATGTTCTTAAGATATAAAAATATAAAAAAAATGAATAAAAAATAAAATTCCTACTGAGATTCTTCCACGAAAAGCCAACAGTTTGGAGAAACGTTGCAAATTGTCGGTGCTAAAACCCGTCCGAACTTCCAATATGTCGCTAAATTCCACTGAAATGTATCATAGTTGCAGATCAGAAATAATCAGCAGAAGAGTCAGTCAATCATACAAATGCCAATAATTTCGTCTTATCAACAACACCTTTTCCAGGTTACTACTTGTTCTACCTAAATTACCTCCCACCTCGTTTCTGCCACATCTTTTTTTTCCTTTCCTTCCTCTCCAACTTTTATGCCTATTATACTTTAGTTTTGGCCAAGAAAAAGTTCTTTCTGCATATATGAATGATAAATAAAGGACAAACACAACTGGAGAAGTAATAAGTTTTCCCTCTGCAATTTTACCGTAAAAACAGTTCAGGCAAAATAAAATAGAAATAGAGAAGTGTCTGCGAACGCCTTAACTCCTTTTTTTTTATGCTAATAAAGTGCGAATTATTCTATCGATTTCCTCCACTTGGTTAATTGCTTAGTTCGCTAAACAGAAAAAAAAATTAGCATCAAGCGAAGACCAAACTAAAGGCATCAGTCTAACTGACATCAGTAAAGCCGCAGAAGCGACAACAAACAGCTAAAAATTTTTGCACCCAGCGGGCACTCAAATGACGAACAAAATCCATTAAACATAAAGGAGACCAATTCTATAAAACCTCTCAAAAAAAAGCGACCAAAAAATAAATAAATAAATAAATAAACTGCTTTTTTTGAAAACCGTTTTTTCTGTTCCTTTCACTATCCTTTCTTCCGTGACCAAATTTCTTTCAAAGCAATGCTTAGCTCAGTTTCCTAAGGTTACCCAGGTGCCAATAGCAACAACAACAACAGTTTTTTTCCAAGTAACTTAACCAAACCTGAAGATTTACGAAAAAAAAAAACAGGATCTATCCCCTTGGCAACAGAAAATACCAAAAAATCATCAGTTAAAAGAAGAACAAAAAAATTGATCCTTTTTATTTCAAAACCAATAAAAGATAAATTTTAAAATAGGAATTGAACAAATCTTCTAGTTCTTCCTTTTCCATTTTCAAAAGGAAGAGAACTGAATTCTGTAAATTTTTAGAAGCATAAAAAAGCAGTGAACAAAAGAAAAAAAAATGAAAAGTGACTAATAAGTGGAAGAAAAAGAACTAAAAACTTGTTGAAAAAAGAGAGGCTAAATAAAGTTGTTAAAAAAAAACTGTTCAATAAATACAAAAAAAGCCTTTTTTTTTGCAACATTTTTGCAGTTGACAATGTCGACTTTAATTACATTTCAGATCAACAGAAAAAAAAAAAATGCCCACGAAATGTGAAGAAAAT